TGGCATGTGGTGCTGGGGGATTGAACTGCGGTCCCTGTGCTTTGCTAAGCTTGTTCTAAGTAGGTGCTTTAGACCACTGAGCCATCTCACCAGCACCTACATTTCTTTTTTTGTTTCTTCCAATTTTACATGCATGCATCTGGTAATATGAAAAACTGGATGGAAGATGACACTGTACAACAAAAATATTATGAAAGTCATATTATTTTGTTAAGTGAAATTCTGTATCACTTGTAAGTTTTGTTTTGATTATAATTTGTACACTCTTTAAAAAATAAAACAATTAAAAAGAAAAAAAATAAAGCTACAGCCTGGAGGGACAAGGTCCACAGGGCAAAAGCAGCTGCAGAAGGAACACTCTGACATGGTGGTCTCCTAGCTGCAGATCCAGCCCGCTTGGGAATTGGTGTCCATGAGCATAAGTAGATCCCCATTTGTGTCTTTCAGGTGGCTCCTCCTTTGTTATGTTCTGTGTTTCTCCCTGTTGAAGGCCTCAAGCCACACCGTGGAGCTCAATGATATGTTTGGCCAGATTCAGTCACCCGGCTACCCTGACTCCTATCCAAGCGACTCAGAGGTAACTTGGAATATCACTGTCCCAGAAGGGTTTCGAATCAAGCTTTACTTCATGCACTTCAACCTGGAATCATCATACCTTTGTGAATATGACTACGTGAAGGTGAGACCCCCAGTGTTTCTTAACTGAGCCAGGCTCTCTATTAGGAGTTCGGAAAGTCTAGAATTGGACACTGTCCTTACCGACCCCGCTAGCCTTATATTTAGAGGTCTCGAGGAGGTGAAATTCTGACATGCCAAGCTCAGGCTGGTAAATAGAGCTAGAAAAGACAAAGAGAGAAACTAGGGCTGGTGGTGAGTGATCCAACCAAATCCAACACCTCTTTTCTTTCTGTACTCCTACGGATTAGGAGTAAAGTTCAGTAGAGCTTGGCATACCAGAAGTCATGACGTTTTTTTTTTTTTCAGAACCAAGAATTGAACTCAGACCCTTGCGCTTGCCAGGCAAGTGCTTAGTCTACTGAGCCATCTCCCCGGCCCCATGACTTTGATCTTTAGCACACACACAAAAATTCCTTTTGACCATGAAGTTTCTAATCTCTCTAATATCTTCTCTTAAAGGTCTCAGAGACCCCCGAGCATACCACCAGTGATCAAAAAGAAATGGTGCCACCAGCATGCCCCAAGTGGGGTACTAGAAAGCACTGCCCAGTTCCCCAAATAATAATCGAGTTTGGGAATTGTTGGGTACACACTAGCTGACAACTGGATGGGAGGACAGGATGTGATTCTGAAAGGCCTTAAATATCACACTGAGGATTTCCTATTATACCAGCAAAGGGCACTGCTGAATGGAAAATTCAATACACGAAGGTGTGTAAAGAATATACTTAGGTAGACCAAGAGAATATTACAAGATACAAATAACATTCCCTGGAACTTAGAGAGAACCCACAAAAAAGGTTATGGGGGAGAAGATGTTCTCATTTTAAAATGGGGCTAAGAATAATCAGAGGATTCGGAAACGAAGTTTATTAAGGTTAAACCTACTTCAGAAAGATGTTGAGAGCCAAGAACCTCTTTCCAAAACTCTCCCTGGCTTCCTGGAAGAGGTCCTCATCAAAGCAATACACAGCTGGCCTTGTATTTCTTTAGTATTAATGTAGTCTCATTTCCAATAATTGAGACAGAGATAAACTTGTGTTAACCAGAACACTTGGGCAACAGCAAAGTAGCAAATATTATAAAGTGCTTTTTTTACACTTTTAATATCATTTGAACTGTACAAGAGTCCTATAAGACAGAACAAATACCTCCTTCACAGCAAAGGAGGAAATCTAGGAAAGTCAATAACTCACCCAATATTTTACAACTAGGCTACAGCAGATCAAGATCCCAAATGTATGTCTTATTTTTTTCTATTTTTTTTGGTACCAAGGATTGAACTCAGGACTTTGTGTTTGCCAGGCAGGCACTTAAGTTATTGAGCTATCTCCCTTAGCCCCAAATGCATGTCTTATGGCTTTGAATCTCCTATTCAGTGTTCACACAAAACAGCCACAAGCTTAGTGCCACTGAGCTTGAGGAGTATACAAAGGCCCAGGAAAAGGGAGGTTCCTGTCCCCGCTTCTGCTCCTTTTGTAGAAAGTGTGGCCAATGAATGCCTTGGGTCCACATGAGATAGCCATGGTGCTCCATACCAGAATTCCTTATTGGAAGCCAGATGAGAAAGTTGTCTTAAACACTGTCGAATTTTTAGAAACATCCCCTTCTTCTACTTATGAGATGTCAGTGGCAGCTCTCCTCCAGTTATGACAACTGAAAATGTCTCCAATCTTTGGCAATATCCCAAAGCCACTGCTCTATGGGGTGCTGCACTTCTATGGATGCTCTGTGCTAGGAATTATGGGACTATTAGGTTGCAAAAGATTTGGTACCTTAGGAAGACAGATGAGGGCAGTCTCTGGAAGTTTTAAAGGCACAGTCTACTTGAGGCAATTTCATGGATTAAGCTGTTGATTCTTTAGAAAGGAGGATCAAGGTGGGCTAGTGGTCCTGCAGAGCTGATTCTTGTGGAAAACTACCCTAGCATCAGCACTGGCCCCTGGGCTGATGTTCTGGCATGCCAGGGAACTAAGCCGGCCTTCTATTGGAGGATGCCACCCCTCATCAGCTGACAACCTGCCCTCATAGGCAGATAGGCTCCTGTCCTCTTGTCCACACAGGCCCAGCAGAATTTGGGAAAACATCAAAGTCGCACAAGTCTGTGGGCCTTCTAAAGACTCCTCTAATGACAAGTGGTGGCTGTGGTTGATTTTTATATAATTTCCCCATAGTGAACATGTTCTTCTAACAACCCTTAATTAGGCCCGTAGAGAAAAGAGATAGAAGCTGCTCAGGTGAAAAGCGACCCTGACGCTTCCTCTACTTGCTCACCTTCCTCGGTCATCACTCCCCAGCATCTTCTAGTCATGGCTCGAATTGGCCATTATGGTCAAGTCCAGCTGGGATGAAAGAGGAGCTTGAAACCTGCATATCAAGGGCAGGACTAGCATCTGCTTCAGAACTCCCAAACCAGAAGCCTTGCACACAGTTGAAACCTGTTCACTTTTGATAATTGCCTTCCCAAAGCTCAGCCCCCAGATATGTGCTTTTTCTGGCTCAGAATAAGAGAGTTGCTCTTCTCTTTCCATTTGAATAAAAGCACGAGTGTGCCATGTGACTGCAGGGTAAGTCAAGCCTGCTCTCCGAAAGTCTGTTTCATCATCTGTTCAATGACAAGGTGGACTGAGGGGATCCTTAACGTTCCTTCAACTCCAGAATTCTAATCCCAGCCCTCCTTGTCAAAATTGTCCAGACAACTCCACCCAGCCCTCATTATCCTAGTTAGACTGATTCCAAAAAATGGGAATAATGTGTTTATTATAACCAATTCCCAAAGCTTCATGGCTGCAAGCCCTACAGGACAGTCTGCAGTGCACCAGGGATGTTTTGATGGCTTCTTATTTGAGTGAAGCTTGTAAACATAGAATGCCACCACTGTCCTTCACCAAGGAATTTTAATACACTCGACTTCCCTTTGCCAGAATAGCATCTCTTGTTTTGAAGCGTTTTTACTCCATAACTGAACTGCCCTGGCAGCCAAGAAGTGAGTTTAAAGAAACTATCATATCATAGAGGCCTTCCTAAAAATTCCTTAAATATAAGTACTGCCATTTATATGTCAGGAAGAGATACTGTTTTTTTGAGAAACACAACAAATCGTAGCTCTTTTGTTTGAACATCAGATGAAGTGATGGATTTTAAAAGGAGCTACGGGATAAATAACAGGAGGAGGTGTAATTCATTAGCCCAGACCAAGCCCACAAACTGGCCTTCCCCCACCCCAGGCCCATCAGGTGCCAGTACACACCAGAAGCTTGAATAGCAGGCCCCGAGGCCATGGACCCAATGCTCCTGTTTGTGAGAATCCCCCTCCAATCTGACTTCCTGCCATCCTTGGTCTTTGGGGAGCATACACATCTGCACAGCAGCATTTGCTCCCACGGATTGTGGCTTCAATTGCAGATTCCTGCGGTGCACAGGCCTCGAACCACATCTGGGTGATGCAACAAGCAAAGGGTGGAGAACAGTCCTGGTCAGAGAATTAGAAAGACCAGGTTCTCATTGTCATTCTAAACTAAATGGCCTTGAGGGGAAAAAAAAATGAACAAAACAAACCTCTTACTAGAGGGGACTTTGGTTTCTTCCTCTGTCAAATACAGGATCTAGAGCGAGATGGGAAAATCAAACCCGCCCACCACCCCTACTATTCCCCACATAGGAAGAAGCAGTTGATAAAGCTTCCTCTGTATTTATAGCCACTATCCATTGCTTGAATTACTGCCTGAGCTCCAGCCCCTGTCAGATCAGCAGCGACACTAGATTCTCATAGGACCACAAGCCTCACTGTGAACTGTGAAGGCGAGGGATCTAAGATGCATGCTTAGAAAAAAAAAAAAAAAAAAAAATCACTGCCTTTCACGGAACTGGTCCTTCGTGCCAAAACAGCTGGGGGCAACTGGTTTACCCAACCTTGATATTCTGTGAATCTGAGACATCAGAGGTCAAGGGAGAACTCCATCATCAGTGTGATCAATGCCCATAGAAGGGCAGTTCACTGGCCAACAGCACACGTGGGCATCTCAAGACTCAATCTCTTCCTCTTTTAAATAAATTAAACTTTAGTGCCTTCCCTGGGTGTAGGACGAGACAAATATTGGCCACAGATAAACCCACTCTTAAAAACTCCTTCAGTGTAGTAAAGTACTGCCTTTTGGTATATCTAGAAGAGCATTATTTTTCCAGAAATACAGAAAATTACAATTTCCTTGTTTGAACATCAGATGAAGAGACTGACTTAGAAAGGAACCACAGGGTAAATGATAGACTGAGGTCTAACTACTTAGGAAACAGGACCCCCCAAAAGAACACCACATCCACACATTTTATTTTCAAGCTCACTTCGTGATTTCTGGTCATTGAGAAAGAAGCACGAGTTACCTGCATTCAGTTTGTATTCTTTCTTCCATCGTGTGCAAAAGTTCAACCACATCTGTGCAAAGTTCACATCGTGTAACACCACTGTGCTCCTCTTAACGGCACTTCTGTAATGAATCTAACATTCCCTCTGTCCTTTCTACTGTTTATACCTCCATTCTAATTGTTCTTTGTCTCACTTAATCGACTGCAAAAGCCTCCTGACTGTCTACCAGATATCAGCCTCTTCCCTTTAGCACACCATCTACATATATCCACGGGCACCTCCTAAAACACTATGTGGCTTGTGTCACTGTTAAAACCTGCATACGGATGCCTATTTCTTAAAGAACAAAGACCAACAATTCTATTTAAAATCTCTATAAGCTGAATACTGTACCCAAACTGGGCCCACAAAGATGAGTAAGTTAGCCCAGTGCCCAGGAATTCGTAATTTCATGGTATTAATTGAGATAATTGCAAAGTAACATAAAGGGGATAAGGCAACATACACATTTGCGGGTGGCCATTTCTGCATTATTTGGAAAGGCTTCAGAAGCAGGTGATGTCAGGGAGGAGTCTTCAAGGATCAATGAAGACTCAACAATGTGGTTCCAGAAATAGGGTTTCTCAGCAAAGCGACAA